AGATTTGCCTCTTTGTTTCCGACTAAAAACAACGCATTCCAAGTCAAAATAATAAAAAAATAATAAATATATAGCGTATATACTCAAAAGTTTGATTATATTAGTACCTGAATTATCATTAAAAATTTACTGTTAGTCATCTAATGAAATATTTATTCCGTAGTCCAAAATTTACAACATAATAATAATAATACAAAAAAGAAACTACTGAATTCCAGTTGTCAATCGTATTTACACAATTTTTGTTCACACATTTTATAGTATTTTCACTTAACCTTTCAAATTTGAATAAAATAACATGTAAACTGTCAAATCCAATTGGAAATTGAAGTCAAAGAGAATAGATTGGAGATAGGAATTGCGTTACTTCAGTCGTGCAGTTACCGAACTTTTACATGATCTTTGTAAATATAATATATAATATGACTGATATGGATATGGAATTTTCATTGAAAACACTTTTCTCAGCATATGTATGTATGTATATTCATTTAGTTTGCACTGTTTTACATTCATTGCACTGAGGATCTGCAGCTAGCTTCGTTTACTTTGCCGCAATGCAAATTCACCAGGCTTTTTTTTTTTTTACGATTTGTTTTCGTTTTCGTTTTCACTTTTCACATAAGGTTAACGACAATACGAATTACACAGTTACATACACATGTACACATGCATGGATGTATGTATGTAGCCAGCGACTTCCAAAAGACTAACAATGAATAAATACACTGAGAACAATTGAGCCTGTGATGTGATCTAAACTTACCGTTCGGTTATGCCTGAAGTCGCACCTCAATGTCCTGGCAGAGCAGAAGCACAGCTCGCATAGATTCTCGGACTTTGCGTCGTCCAGCCCAGTCGAGGCCATAGCAAGCGCGAAAGCGACAGAGACGAGAAACAAATACCACCTCATGATCGCAATTAATTCGAACTGATTTATTGTTGGCATTGTGCTCGCGAGAGAACTTCGTTTCTTGCAATTAATTTATACTTTTTCTTTTTCTTATTCTTTTGTTGCGGCTTTGGCTTTACGGGCTTTTTTTTCCACTTTGCGCTCGCATTCAATAATATTCATATTTAGCTGGTATTTTCGGCCACTAGGATAATATTCTTGTGAATAAACGAAAATAACATTAAAAAAAAATATCCCGACAAAAAAAAATCAAAACCAACCAACCGACCAAGCGAACGAACTCATACTGAGTAATCGAAATTTAAAAGAGCACAAACAAGCTCATCACTGTTAAGTAACTCAATTGGCACTGTTAAGAGTGATAGGAGCAGGGCTGCCAACTTTACAGAAAATTTTAAACCTTTCAAACCTGCTAAAAAAGGCTAGAAAATTTCTAGGTACTTATGGATCACACGATCCCTTCACCACTTTTACTTCTGTATAGACTGGTTTAAAGTTTACTTTCTAGGGCCTCACATAGTTTATAAAACTAAGCAGTTACTACAAAGTATGTACATACGTATGTATACGTATGTATGTACATACTACATATGTATGTAGTGGTACATAGAATGATTGCGATATTAGCTTATCGGAGTGTAGTAATACACTTGCAATTTTTCAATATGATGTAGATTAAGTATATTTAGCCTTACAATTTCGGTGGTGTTCCGTGGCAACTGAAGGGTATTTCAATTAGAGGGCAAGTGAAAGGAGGAGAGATAGGGAGAGATGGGTCACATCTTCCGCTTAAGTGGAGCGCTCGACTCGCAATCAATTCGCGTTCCAAGCATGGAGCGGATGTTGCCCTGCTTCCATTTGTTCTAGTCGTTCCAATCACCCCCGGACTCTGTGCGAGAGCATCAGCTGTTAATGCGGGCCTCCTCCCATTTGGGCTCAATTGACGTCGAGCGTTGAGTCATTGGTGATTTTTGAGTTTCGAAGCATTAAAATTTTTGATTTTTTATTTAGAGTAAATTGTGGAATGAATTGCTGTGTTATATTGTAGGTACTCTTATATTCCTAAACACATACATATGTATATACATATGTATGTGCATACAAGCATACGCACTTCAATTTGAAATTCAGCTGTAAAATATACAGTGGAAATAGGGTGATAACGACTCTATACGAGTATACTATTCCTCTAAAACGGCTGCATTATAGACTGCATTATGGTAACTTATTTATTAAATCCTCTTGTCGAGAATCGCTCTATCCGTATCTACATACGTTTGCAGAAGCAAGGATTCTGGAAGTCTCGCAGTCGAGCAGACTCGACAAGGGCACGCTCACTTGTTGTTATTTATTATTATGGGTGATCTTTGCATGTTGTCAACCTGCAACAGGCTGTTGGAGTATTTTTTTTTTTCGCTTAACTTAACGCTCCATTTGTGAGCTCGCTCGGTTGGATCTGACTCTGGGCTGTAGCTCGCGTGTGGAGCTAAGCCCCGACCCCAAATGCAACGTTGACCACGACCGAGACCGAGACCCCCAGTAGCCCAACAACTCGGGTAACGGTAACAATAGATGTAGGAAAACGTGTTTCCCACAGGTAGCACGCACACGCACACGCACACACACACACAACATACACACATACACGCTACACTTGGTTGGAGGTTTTTGTTTTTGTTTAGGTACATACATATGTATCTGGCTTTTGGAGCAAAACACATACGCACACACGCATACCTATGAGAATACACATGTGCATACATATATACATACATACATATGTATGTACCTTCATTTTATTCATTTTGGTTGGAAAATTTGATTCTTTTATTTTCATTCTGTTTGCATTGTTTTTATTTACTTTTAATGCGAACGGCTTTACCCTCTCACTCTCTCCCTCTCTCTCTCTCTCATTCTCTCTCTCTTTCTCTCTTACTCTACCTATTTTTGATTGCTCCACTGGCAGCCGCTTCCACCCTCCCTCGTGCATCCGTTAGGCCTAAACATACACACAAGTGTTGGGCTAGAGTGGCTGCTAAGTGCATACATACATATGTATGTATGTATATACAAAAATGCATATGTATGTATGTACATAGCATGCATATGCATGTCCATATATATGTACATATGCATACAAACAAATGTATGTATGTATGTACAGATTTATGGAATTACTTACATATGTATATGTACATATATTTGTATGTATGTATCAACATATGTATGTGTGTATATACGTTCGAGTCCCGATAATTCGCAATGGCAAGGGGATCACTTTTGTCGAGAACATTGTTATAACCCTCGAAGATTAGTTAGAGGTCAAATGATAAGATATGTATGTACATATGTTGTTCGATCACGTTCGCCTTTCGCTACACACGCACGTGCACGCACGTACACGCACAAAGGCACACATGCACACCTACTGTGAGACTGCGCCGTTACGTGCTCTTTCCGTTTGGTCCGGCCAGGCCACGGTTTACGCTGACGTGATCTTATCCTGCGATTGAGTAAATGAGAAAAAAAAACTAAAAAGAGGACGAAATAGTAAATATGTACAGTGACGAACTAAATTATTGGCACAGCAAGCTTTTTTAAACTTTAAAGCAATTTTGTAATTGCTTTTTACCGTTTTTTTTTAGTGAAAAATGTACTAAATAGAATTAGGTATTTATTAAATTATACAGCAAAAATATTGCGAAAAACTTCAACGTACTTTTTTTTTTTTTAATTCAATAACCAAAAATAAACATCGATTTTGCTGAACAAAATTATTGGCACACCAAAAAAAAAAACAAGTAAGAAAGCTCTAGTCGAGACTGCTCGACTAGGAGATATCCTGAACCCTTGGAGTAATAGCTATTTCAATAATTTTTCGCGTCTTTCAGCTTACACAAGAAACACRCACACACACACACACGCACGCACGCACACACAGACATACATACACACACATACACACTCACACACACACATACACAAACAATTACATACATATACACACACAAGCATAAACACGCATGGGCGGCAGTGAGCGCTTACTATGAGAACTTAATTGCTTAATAACTTTTTTTGTGGACGTACGATCTTCATGAAACTTTCAGATTATGATTATAACATGGATATGCATGTAATTGCCAAAGCACANAAAAAAAATCCGAATTCGTTGCGGATTAATGGAAAAACTAATGTTAATACTTAATCCGGCCTCCATTTGTCTTAGTTAACTCAAAAATTCTCTTCCTCATTGAAACCACTAAATTCAATAAAAGGTCCTTTTCGAAACTTTGTCATTCATTTAGAATTTGCGTTTTAAGATATCCAACTGTCTCCAACTGTCGATCTTCTTGTTAGATTACCCCAGACATTTTTATCGGGTTGAGATCCGAAAAACATGCTGGCCAGTCAAGGACATCAACATGACATCCCTCCAAACACCCTTTTGTACGTCTGCTCACATGGATTCTGGCAWTATCCTGTTGGAAAACCATTGGTTTCTCACGTAATTCCCTTGAATATGGAATGAGAATACTATCCAGAGCCTGAATATACTCTTCACTGTTCATTCGGCTCGAAACAAACTTATATTCCAAGGTACCTAATGAACAAAATGTACCCCAAATCATGACAGCTCCACCTCCAAAGTCTGTCCTTGAAAAAAACATAGRATCCTTCCTCAAATCATGCTAATAAGTATCAAACCCATCAGGACCATCCAGGTTAAACTTCTTCCCATCAGAAATATCAGAATATGACCTGTTAGGGTAAAAATTTATAAATATACTGTAAGCCAAAAGACGATGATTCAAACGCGCGTATGTCAAAACGGTCGCAGTATGTCTTTCGGCAAAATCAAGTTGAGCAACCTTGTGGTGACTTAGCAACATGGATGCTTTGGTCAGTTTAGACCTATTTATGATTCCTGAGCTCTTGATTATTCGCTAAACAGTTATCGCTGACATAGATTCGGCCACATGTGCGGCCAAAGCTGTACAAGCGGTTGAGCTGTTGCTGGCTTTCTTAATAATTTTGCGTTTATCGTGTGCAATTAGTAACGGGTTTCACCCAGTACGTCTTCTTGATCCTTATTCTTCGGGGTCATCCAAAGACATTTTAATTGCACTTTGACTTTTTTGCAAAATTCGTAAAATACTCGAAATAGACTCCCCTGAGTCGAAAAGTGAGAAAATACGGCCCTTTTCATAATAAGAAAATTGTTTTCCAAGCGGCATCTCTTAAAAACTATCTAAAATTACTTAATTACAATGTCTGTTCCGCACTTAATAAACTCAAATTTGCGACAGTTGGCTATAATTATGATACACAAAAATGCAAGCAAAAATGCAAAAGAGCAAAAGTTAACGGTTCTTTCTTAATTTTCCATAAATTGAATGAAAATTTTGATAAAAACTACTGAACATGTTCCAGTCTATAAAGTGCTGTAAAATTAATTTTTGAAAAACCTTAAAAATGTTGTTTTAACGGTCTCAAAGTTTAAGTTGCTGGGTGGGCTATAATTATGATAAGCACTGTATATACTTACATACACAGACAGTGAGAAGTGAGACAGAAGTTGAACTTCGGGCTTTGCCTCATATGTATGTAAACATGTATATATGTATATACATATATATATATGTGCATGTTTAATGATTGCGTTCTTCTGCTCTCTTCGCTTGCAGCTCGCAGTCGAATGAACGACAATTCTTGAAGGACTTCATCAGCGGTGCACCCGGTTCGTCGGGCGCCCGCCTGGCCGCTTGGCTGCAGCCGGAGTCGCGTCTGGATCCCAATAAGTAAGTTGCAATGAATGCGGCGAGAGACGCGGACTAGGCTAATGCTGAGCATTCCATCCCCTTCCGATCCCTTGCAGATGTGAGCTGAATACTATTACGGAGCCGTTGCGCTATGGTTGGCCCACCCAGGTGACAGTGACGATACGGGATCAGTATGGCGATGCCGTACTTGTGCCGGAGCTCAAGGTGGAGATTAAGGCCATTCCCACCGGACCGGATCGCAGTGGCGGAGGCAATCTGAAGATGCGACGCACCTCGTATGCGGACGAGGGCACGACTGTGGGTCAGGGCATAGGCGCCCAGTTGGGCGGAATGGCGCCGCCGCCACGGCTCAACTATGAAGCCACTACTAAGGAAAAGATGTGCTTCAAGGCGATCACCTTTATGAAGCCCTACACGAACTACTCGTTCGAGGAGCTGCGCTTCAGCAGTCCAGTGCAGACGCGAACGACGGAGGTTCTCTCTGCCCAGGACATGGAGGACGGCACCTTCAGCGTCCACTGGACGCCCAATTCCGTGGGCGGCTATTGTCTGGCTGTCACCATCGATGGCATACCGCTCGAGGAGGTGTATAGGGTTGAGGTAAAGGAGGGTGTGCTGCCCCCGCCCGCGCAGAGGAGCAGTGCCGCACGCCGTCCGCAGGCGCCAAGCAAACTGCGACGATTTCAGGCGAGGCACAGCGCTGGATTGCGCATACGCTCCCATCCAACGTTGCAGTCGGAGCAGGTGGGCGTGGTGCGGCTGGGTGGCATCATATCCTTTATAGATGAGATCGAAAATGATGACGGCATTTGGCTGCGTCTGTCCACGGAGTCCATACGGCAGCACTGCACCATGGGCTGGTATCCGACGGAGGCGTGGTGCCTGCAATACAATCAACATCTAACCCGGACGCTGCTGCAGCCGGTCAACGAGGCCAAGGCCAGGTCAAAGGGGACAGCTGGCGGAGAATCGACTGAGTCGGAGCAGCAGCAGCAGCAGCAGCCCCTGCCCAGTAGTCCCACCGGCAGCACAGCCGGCGATAGCCCCAGCAGTCCAGCCGACAGCAAATCTCCCACGGAGCGTAAAATTTTTGAGCTGCCCGCAGCAACAGTTGCGGCTGCTTCGTCCTCGGCCGCAACCTCGACCAATCCCTTTCTGCTGCCTGCCGCCAAAGGAGCTGGCACGGATGCGCTGCTCCCCGCGGATGCGGACAATATGCTGACTGCCAGCACGGAGCTGCTGCCCGGCAATCTGGGCTCGGCCATAGCTGGCGTCGTGGGCGGCGGCGCTATCAAATTGCAGGCGCTGCAAAAATGGTTCAAAGGCGATGCCATCGAGTCGCAGTCGCAGTCGCAGTCGCAGTCGCAGTCGCAGTCACAGTCACAGACAGCGATGCCGCCTTTGGCTGGCGTGTCTGTGCGGGAGCTGGTGCGTGCGATGGGCGGGCAGGAGCAATCGCCGAGCCACGCCCATGCGGCGCGAGGCAATGGCAACAGCCAGGAGTGCATTAGCTCCGCCGCTGGCGAATCCCTGGACTTTGACATTGCCAGCGTACGGCGTGTGAACTATACGGCCAGCCAAACCGCGGCGCTGCTGTCCACGCCCAAGCACACGCCCAGACGGACGGCAGCCGCCGCCGCCGCTGCGGTCGCCCTGGCCAGCGAGTCGGCACAGCTGGACGAGGAGGAGCTCAGCCTGCTGCAGATAACCACAACGACAACGGCAGCGGCAGGGGCAGGGGCAGGGGCATCCGGAGCGAGTGGAGCTACCGATGCAGCTGGGTCCAGTGAGCATCCGAGCGAGCTGCATATCGGCCTCAGCCTGAGCAACAATAGCCCCACAGCCGGCGGCAGCAGCAGCAGCTGCTCAAAGCGCGGCCAGGCGATGGGGCCGATCAAGCGTGCGATGCCGCCCTCCTTTGCGGAGAGCATTCGAGCGGTATTTGCGGCTCTGCTCTGGCACGAGGGCGTCGTCCACGATGCGATGGCCTGCGCCAGTTTCCTCAAGTTTCATCCGGGCCTGCCCAAAGAGGGCGCCACTGTGGTGACGCGGCGCGATACCGGGGATCCGCGACTGCAATTGTCGCGGGAGCAGAAGGCGCAGCAGCGCCATTCCGTGGAGGTAGCGAATGCGGGACACTATCTGAACATACGCCCCTCGACGCTGGAGACGCTCGCCAAGAGCGGCAACTGCTCGCTCCACAATCGGAGCAAGCATCGTAAAAATATTTTAGCTGGAGAAGATCCGCAGCAGCAGCAGCAGCAGCAGCAGCAGCCGAAGGAAAAGCTGCACGCCCTGCCGGAGCTGGTGAGCGTGTTGCCCCCCGCTCTGCGATGCTTGGTCTACCTCTGGGAGCAAATCTGCTCCGGCTGCGTTCACATTGTCCAGTCGAATGCGCTCGAGCAGCGCGAGCCGCGCCTCCTGTCGCCCAGCGGGCGCGATGCCAATGGCGACTCCGATGCCAAAGAGGGCAGCAAGGGCAACGATGAGCCGGGCGCCGATAAGGATGCAGCCAAGAAGTGCAAACGGAAGAAGAAGGACGACGGCAGCTGGTGCGAAATCTGCGAACTCTTTCTGCCCATGCCCGTCACATATCACATGCGCATCGCCCATCCCGGCTGCGGGAAGTCCGCCAAGGGCAAGGGCTACAACTCCGTGGGCATTTTCTGCGAGGGCTGGGCCGGCAATTGCGGCGAGGGCGGCAAAGGCGCCTCCAGTTGGTTCCTCATGTGCGACGCCTGCCGCGACAAATACCTGGCCACCACTCGCACCGCCAACAACATCAACAGCGCCGCCCAGCACGCCTCCAATTCAGGTGAGCCATCATTTTGCTGCATTCCCCAAGCCAACATCAGCGTAGCTTGGCTTGGGTAAATGCCCGTCTGCCTATACGAGCACACTTTAGATCTGCCCATTGAAATTGATCCAAATCCCAGACGTAAACACATATTATATATATCAACTCCCATTGAGGGCGTGGCATCCTCCCCAATTTCAGATCGTCTGTAGATCGATTGTAGGAATTCTTCTGCTTCTATATATACACAATATATACATATACGTATATGTATATTACAGATTATAACTTTTAAGTATGACAATCGTGGACCTGGCATTACTGGGTGACTCAGCAGAGATAGCGTAAAGCGCATTTACCTTATTTTCGTTTGCCATATACCTTTTCTTTCAATGACTAATGAGTTATCGCTATGATATATTCATCCATTCATGATAGACCTGTGCGTCAATTGTCGCCTCATTTCATTTTCTATGGAAAACATTCAACCATCCACAGGTCAGCTTCAAGGAGACTCGGATCATTCGGTCATTGCAAAAATACATACGTATGATATGTTCAATGAACATTGTTCATGCCATGCTTGAGTACACCATGTGGTCCTCGATAAGAATATTCTTAGATAAGATTGTATGAACAATGACCAGCATACCTCTCTATCTCTATCTCTATCTCTATCTCTATCTCTATCTCTATCTCTATCTCTATCTCTATCTCTATCTCTATCTCTATCTCTATCTCTATCTCTATCTCAGTCTTTAGCTCTTTTTTGTGGTCCGGCATGTATCGGACAAGGCCCTTCACATGGTGCTCTTTTATCCAATGGGGGAAGAGGGGGCATTTTCTATAGTCCTTCTGACCTGTTGGGTTTCTCTCTTTTCTTTTGCCCCAACACAGGTGCTGAAATGAATCTGTTTGGCGTGAAGACAACTACGTTGATAGCCAACTCGGAGGTGTACACGACTATGCGAGAGAATGCAACATTTTTGCTGGAGCTCTGCTCCTCCTCCTCCTCCTCGTCGCCGTCTTCGTCGGCTGTATTGGGAGGCAGCCAGAAGCGTTCGCCACAGCAGCAGCAGCAACAGTCGCAGCAGTCGATGCCCGTGGTGGTAGAGCATCAGCACCTGGGCATGTCCGATCTGAATCTGAGTAGCAAGCCGAGCACTAGCCGGGCGGACTCGGCGCGCAACAGTCGCATTGGCCGGCTAAGCGGCAAGTTTACGCCCTTTCGCAAGTCATTTGTGGGCGTGGCACCGGCAACACCAGACAACGTTTGGCCAGCACCGGAGAGCTTCGCCTGCCTAGAGTGCCTGGGCACGGGTCTGCACGAGGATCTGCCCTACGAGATGTTCGGCCTGGGCGGCAATGCCAACGAGAATGGCTACGATCGGGTGAGTTGGGCCAATTCACTAACTAATAATACAAATAAATCTCAATTTGAGAAGATCAGAGCTCTTATCCAGTGAAGACTATAGTTGGTGGGATTACAGCTCGGCCTACACAGAATCTGTTATTTATCCCGTATTCTGTTTGCTTATCTTTCGTTTCGTTTGGTCAGCCCTTGTCGGAGATTTCGTACGAGTCGTGTGAGCCAAACAACTATGAACTAATGTCCGGATCTATGGCCAATCCACCAACCACTGGCGGCACACTGTCCAAGTTCCATCGCAGCTACTCCATGGGCCAGGGCTGGGCAGCTGTGGCCCAGCAGCAGCAACAGCAACAGCAGCAGCCACAGCTGCAACATCAGCAACAGCAGCAACAGTTGCAGCTGCAGCATCTGCAGCCATCGGTGGTGGCACTGCCGCTGGATACACAGCCCAAGGTGGTCTATCGGAGGCGCAACAACTCGACCAGCGAGGGTGATGGCTCGCTGCTCATCTGCTATCCGTCGGAGCATCTGCGTCGGCTGGTGCCGCCCAAGCTGCTAGCCAGCGTTGCGGTGCTGCAGGCACCCAATGCCAATGAGCCAAAGGCAGCCAGCGACGAGGCAGCCAAGGAGGCGGCCCCAGCCCAGCCGGCTTCTGCGACTCCCTTGCCGGAGCAGAACAGCGCCCTGCTCAGCCGACCGGCCATGGCCTTCATCACCCAGAAGCACGAGCTGGACCGTCTGCGCGTAGCGATGCGCCGCAGTCTGCGGATCGCCGCATGCCGCATCTATGCGCTGCAGGCGCTCAACTGGCTGCTGCGCAGCGTTACGCAGGGTGTGTGCCTGCACGACCTGATGTGGTGGTTCGTCAGCTCCTTGGCTGTGGGCAGCGTGGAGCTGGTCGACGGCAAGTACGAGGAGGCGGAACAGGCGCTGGAGCACCCAGTTGCCTATACGCAGATCAGCGGACGCTTTGCCCATTTGATTACACAGTCGCTGCACGTCCTGCTGCAGTCGGTGGCGGATCTGACGCTACACCTGCCGCTCGGCTCCCCACTGCAGCGCGTGGCCATTCAGTGCTTCGGCATACGCTTTCGGCAGGCGGACCATCAGTTCCTGCACAGCTCGCACGTTTTCGGCAACATTTCCAAGATATTGTCCAAGTCCGACGAGCAGAACGACGCGATGGCCGTCTCCAACATGCTCGCGACTGCTGGCGAGACGCACTGCGATGCCGAGCATAACATAGCCACGGCCAGCAATCAGCTGACAGCTGGCAGCGTGCCGGGCGCCAGGCTCATCTGCTACACAGATCTGGCGGGCATGTTCGAGGTGACGGTCTCCTCGCGTCCGGCCATGGCCGAGTCCCTCACGGACAACTCGACGGAAACGTTCTGGGAGAGCGACGAGGAGGATCGCAACAAGTGCAAGATCATAGAGCTCTCCATGAACAAGCTGAGCTATGCCTGCAAATTCGTTCTCGTCCACATTGACAACAGCCGCGACATTCAGGTGGGTACCATCACAGTGCGGAGTAGAGTAGAGTAGAGGCACTACTCTTTCTTTCTTCCGCTTACGATTCGTGGTTGTAGTTCCTACTGCTGCCTCTTGATTGATCGGGCCAGTGCTAGATAGATTCAATACACCAATGGGTTGGTACTCCCTTAATCGGTTACTATGCGTGTCCGTCGGTAGACGCTGGTGCTACACAGGCACCGTCTTTTATCCAAGCTCTCTATTTACAGTTTGTTTTCCATTCACTTGTCATTGAGCGGGCTCCATTGTTGACGTTCGCTCTTTTCTTTTTGTAGTAGACCAGAAAATTAGTACCTTCGAGTATTTATTGCCAGCCCCTTGAACAGGTGCTAATTAGGCGTGGGTATGACAGCAGCACGCAGCAACGGCTATGGGAAAGCCGTTTGTTGACTCTTATGCTCGGCGAGAAGGCTAATAATGTACTTCACACTTCTCGACTTCCACAGAACAAAGTGCTGAATGTGGTGTTCTATGCGGGCCAGTCGCTGGGCGATACGAATCTGATCAAATCCGTGGATGTGGACCCAAAGGCGTGCGTGTGGATTGCAGCGAAGGTCAGCGACGAGAGCTGCACGCACTTTCGACTGGAGCTGCACGGACCGGAGAATACGTTGCGTGTACGGCAAATCAAGCTGCTCGGTCTGCCCAGCTGCCAGCAGGGCGGAGGAGCTAGCGGAGCAGCGGCTGTTGGGCCAGCCGAGGAGCTGTCCCATGCGCTGCTGCCATTGCCCATGGTCGAGCAGCGGGCAAACGTGCGTCTGTCGTACGCCTCACGCATTCAGCAACAGATCTGCGAGAGCGAAACTTTACGCGTGTTCCGCCTCATCACCGGCCAGGTGTTCGGCAAGCTGATCAGCAATGTGAGCGACACGGTTAATCCGAGCGGAGTGGCCTCGCAGGATGCAGCCAACTCGATGCTAGCCGATTCTCTGGACCTGCGCGAGCACATGGTCGGCATTCTGTTCTCGCGCAGCAAGCTCTCGCACCTGCAGAAGCAGGTGATTGTGCACATTGTGCATGCCATACGCAAGGAAGCGCAGCGCGCCAAGGAGGACTGGGAGCTGGCCAATCTGGCGCATGTGCTCAAGCAGCAGCAACAGCAGCAGCAGCAGTCCCCGCCAGCAGCTGGAGCCGGAGGAGCAGCAGCAGGAGCGGTCAGCTCTGCAGGGCCTGCCTCCTCCAGCGAGAGCAGCCCGGAGCGTAGCCGAGCGCCGGACACCTACTGCTTCGAGATGTTGAGCATGGTGCTTGCTCTATCGGGCAGCGTTGTGGGTCGCTCCTATCTGTCGCAGCAGCACGGCCTGCTGCGCGATCTGCTGGGCCTGCTGCACACGGGCAGCGATCGCGTGCAGCGGCAGGTGACGGCGCTGCTGCGTCGCATTCTACCAGAAATTACGCCGGAGAGCTTTGCGGAGCTGCTGGGCGTGCAGCGCTTGCCGCCGGCCGACTATAACATCGCTCACCAGAGCGCCAGTGACTTTGATATGAGTCGATTGGGCCTGTTGGACATCTTTCTGGCCGTCATTGCCAAATCGCTGCAGCTGCAGGTCAAGGTGAAGACCAATACGGCGAATGCAACGATCGGCTGTGGCTCGGCCAGTGGCCCCAAATCCGGCCAGCAGGAGAAGACGCCGGCATTTGTGCGACTCTGCAGCTCCTTGGATCTGTCCGTGCAGCTGTTGCGTACGCGCCCAAACACGGCCGAGCAGCAGCTGTCATCATCGGCCCTGGCCAACAGCGGCGACCCCTTTCGCTTTGATACAGCGCCCCCGAAGAAGGAGTCCAAGCGCAACTTGAACCAACGCTGGTTCCTGAATGGAGTCATCTCCACCAAGCAGGCGGAGAGTATCATTGGACTCATACGTGATCTGGCCAGCGTAAGTTGTTGTAGCTCACTCTCTCACTCACTCACTCACTCACTCAATCACTCTGTGTTTGTTCTTCCAATAGGGTAAGCTGAGCGAGAAGTGGTCCCAGATCACCAAGGCGGCCATTGCCGAATCAGTGCTCAATTTGACGCGACTGGAGGAGGTCTATCGCACACCGGAGCATTGCACAAAGACAGCCACGCTCTGGCTGGCTCTGGCCAGTCTTTGTGTGCTGGAGCGTGATCATGTGGAGAAACTGTCGTCGGGACAATGGTCCAAGCTCTGCGACACTCGTCCCATGTGTACCAATCACGATGACGGCGAGACGGCGGCCATTATCCAATGCGAGACATGCGGCTCACTCTGCGGCGACTGTGATCGCTTTTTGCATCTCAATCGCAAGACGCGCACACACAAACGCACGGTACGTCAATCAAGCAGCCTCATCGTTCAATTACCCCATCAATCAAGCAACTTTGTTGATTGGACCAAAGTCATTTATCATATCAATCACACATATAAATCAATGAATCATGCTCTATTGCCCTCAGCCAGAGCAATGTCAATCAATCTATCTTCAATCAATCAATTAAACAATCATGCGTCGTATACTTAAAGTAAATAGTATTCACATTATTATCACTCAAATAATCAATCAATTCAAGTAATCAATCACTTCAAGTAATCAATCAAATATGTATTTCTGTTGATCGTCAATCAATCAATCAATATAGCTTCGTCGCTCAAGAAGCAAGCGAATCGTCCATATGCTTCTGTAAATCATGAATCGAAATGCAACAAGATTATGAATATATTTAAAGCTTCAATCAAAATAAATATGCATCAATCAAATATGATTGATTAATGTATTTATGTTAAGCATCTATGTAAATACTTAGGGATTTGCAAAAAGAATCAACATCATTCAAGCCTTCAATCAAAACACATATGCATCAATCAATCAATTCCTTTTGTATTTTGATTGATGATTAAGGAAAGGAGTAAATCTTTAAATCCCACATATATACATTATAGGTGTGCAAGGAGGAGGAGGAGGCCATACGCGTGGAGCTGCATGAGTCCTGCGGACGGACCAAGCTCTTCTGGCTGCTCGCCTTGGCCGACTCCAAGACGCTGAAAGCGATGGTGGAGTTCCGCGATGGCAGCCACACGATCATATCCGGTCCTCAGGAGGCGGTGGGGCGCTGTCGCTTTTGCGGGCTCACCAGCAACTCGGGACTGCTGGAGATTGGGAACGTGTGCGCGGATGCCCAGTGCCAGGAGTACGCGGCCAACTCCTGTCTCAAGACCAAGCCGTGCGGCCATGCCTGCGGCGGTGTGGCAGGTGAACGCAAATGCCTGCCCTGCTTGCAGCACGTGTGCCATGCGCGCGAAAACGAACTGGCGGAGGAGCTGCGCGACCCAAAGCTCACGCAGGATGCGGATGACATGTGCATGATCTGTTTCGTGGAGGCGCTCTCCTGCGCCCCTTCCATACACGTAAGCCCATGTAAATCATCATCAATATACCTATTATATCTGTGTGTGTGCGCGTGTGTGTTTCCCTCTCTTTTCAGCTGGAGTGCGGTCATGTGTTCCACTTTCACTGTTGCAAGGCCGTGCTGGAGAAACGCTGGAGTGGGCCGCGCATCACCTTCGGCTTCTCGCTGTGCCCCATCTGCAAGGCGGACATCCAGCACCCTCTGCTGGCGGATATACTGGAGCCAATCAACGGGCTCAAGCAGGACGTCAAGCGCAAGGCTCTCATGCGGTAGGTTCAAATGGAATGGACAAAAGAAAACTATAGATCAGTGCAAATATCTCTTATAGCTGTAGCATCTCTCATAGCATATCCAAGCTAAGCATACACTCAAGTATAAGACTTAAGTCAAACTTTAAGCTCTATGAGAGAGCTGCCTAAACGATATTTGATTCTCAAGTATCTTGAGAAACTTCCCTATGATGCCCCGTATCGGACTTCCTATTAAAAACCCATTTCCCAATAGAACAGCTTTATTTTCTTATGCTTCTATAGTATTCAGCCTTTCATTCGCTAATGGTCTCCCATTTGTTCTATTCCCGAATCAGCATCAAGTACGAGGGCGTCGTTAAGGATACGGACAACAAGGATGTAACGCAGCTGGCAATGGATCGGTATGCGTATTACGTTTGCTTCAAATGCCAGAAGGCCTATTATGGCGGCGAGGCGCGTTGCGATGCGGAAATCGGGGAGAAGTTCGATCCCGAGGAGCTCGTCTGCGGTGGCTGCTCGGATGTGGCCAGGGCGCAGATGTGCCCCAAGCACGGCACTGACTTCCTGGAGTACAAGTGCCGCTACTGCTGCTCGGTGGCGGTGTTCTTCTGTTTCGGCACCACTCACTTTTGCGACACGTGTCACGACGACTTCCAGCGGCTGACGAACATACCGAAGATCAAGCTGCCCCAGTGCCCAGCCGGGCCCAAGGCCAAGCAGCTGCTGGGCGACGAGTGTCCCTTGCATGTGATGCATCCGCCCACCGGGGAGGAGTTCGCACTTGGCTGCGGTGTCTGTCGCAATGCGCAAACATTTTAGCAACTGCGTGCCCAAAAGCTACGACTGCAACTGGTGCGGCAGGATATGTCGCCAGACGAGGAGAACGACGAGGAGATGGAGGGGAATATGGAGAAGGAGGAGGAAGCTGAGGAGGCGACGGAGCAGGAGGATCAGCTCAAGAACTCTTAGAAGCATTTGCATACTTAGAGAAAGTGAAGGATAGAAAGAGAGAGAGAGAGAGAGTTAGAGAGGGAGAGAGAGAGAGGGAGAGAGGGAGAGCGAGAGAGAGAGAGGGAGAGTGGGAAAGCGAGCTAGCAATTAGGGATAAACATACATACATACATATGTATGTAAATTCCCATATATAAATATGAATATATATTTTTTTTTATATCAAAATAATGAATTATAATTCAAAAGTTGCAATTTTTAGCTATATTGTATTTAACTAAATTATTTATTTATTGTAATTGTAATTGTAATTGAAATCTAAATGGCATTTGTTTTGCTTTAACTCAATTGGACACACACACATTCACACACACACACAAGTACTTTTAAGTAGGCTCGAAATGAATTGTTTGTGGTAATTGGAATTGATCGAAAGGAAAATTGGAGGAAAAAAAAAACAAAGCGCATACACTGAGAGAAATTCTTAGGCGTTTGCACATTATTATTTTTTTCTTTTCATTGAAATTCACAGACTCTCGTATATTATTGATCAGAATGTAAACAAATTTAATGCGAATGAGATGAACAAATTATTGTAATAACTAACAAGATCAAATTTATTATAAATGTGAAGAAAGAAAGGAACAGAAAGATAAGCAAATGTAATTAAATACAAATAATGCAATTATATAACTCAATGGAACACATTTTGGTCTTTTATTGAAATTCGAATCGAAGATCTCTGGGTACAATGTTTTCAACATTTTACCAGAAGTTTAAAAGGGGAAGCAAAACGGAAAAAATCTTTTAAAAACTTCTTCTTTTTATTTCAACATAAAATTTGTTATTTAATATTTTTGCTGATTGAGATTCATTATCGTCTTATATATTAATACGAATGTAATTATTAGGGGGCTCGTAATAGCTATTGCAGTATTTGTTGTTTGCATTCGTAATTAATATCTGAAATATTCTAGAAGTGGACAATTCGTGTCGGCAACATTTTCCAAATTGCCTAAAAGGATTTCTTTAAATTCTCGCCGAACTCGCCAAATATTTTCAATATATATTTTCGGCCATGTAACAGAGCTTTCCCTTTATCATAAATTGAAATGCGAACAAAAAATCAAATACATTTCCACTTTAAGAAATTTACTTTCCACAATTAGTCATAAAAAAGTTTGGATTTGGGTGCTGAAAAAAATTAGTTTCATTAAAAAAAATACATCTTTTTTAATTTGATTTCCGATCTACCGTATCGGATCTCTATCTACGTAGATAAATCTCTCTCTATCACATGGCTATCGTTCCGAAATGAAACTCTTTTTATTTGTAAATTAGCACACAAGTCCTCAATATAGTTATTAGCTTTCTCCAACCATATGTTACATACATAAGCTGAAAGAAACAAATATGTAAGGCATAGACGTCGGTCGTAACCTTGTTCAGGAGAACATATACAAACGTTGAGATGAAATCTTTGGCTTCTCACAAACCAAATACCCATGCTTTTGGCTGAATGGGTATCATCCTCCCCTACTTATAGACCCATATTTCCAAAATAAGAAACATTTTGTTTTTAAAAACATGTATGTATTTTTTGTTTGTCTTGTTTTTTGTATTCCTTCTCCTTTCCTTTTTTTTTTAATCATAATTTTTGACCTTGTTTTGCGTATTTGTTTTTGTTTCTTGCTGTGTTAGATGTATTTCTTAATTTTTTT